GCTGGGACGCATCAAATAGCTAGCTTATTGATTTTCGGTCACTAAGTCTTTGTTCCGTTCTCAGTCTAAGTGAACTCGTAACCGTAGCAAACCTAGCAGAATCTTTGTCGTATCAACGTCGCAAGAGACCCACAATACATCATGTTTTTATCTCAAGTTACTTAACGGCGCATAAATATTATACCGCAGGTTCTTTTTTGCAGATCTGCATGACCATTCGTAGCAGTTCTGCCGCTTATAAATTACAAATAGTGATAAACCTTCCCGTTCGATCGTAAGACTATTATTCTCAGCAATGTTTTTCATACATGTTCTGTTCATTTTAAATTTAGAGGATTTCTCCTTTAAGACTCTGGATTTTTTAATATGTTATTTTATTTGTATGGCTTTTACTGATTAAGTAAGTCTTGTAATACATAATGTAAGATCCAAACTAAGGTTTGGACTGAAGGACAGCTGACTAGGCTGGTTAGATACGCGCCCTTGCCGTTCGAAACCAAAACAAAGTAATTGTGTAAAATGACAGTTCTATAATTCATCATAAATTTAAATGCACATCGTTACCTAAACAAATATGACCACTCAGCTATCCAACCAATAATTGTTCAATTGATCAAATCTAAACTCCAATAAATAAAGAAGTTGATAAAGGATGCAAGAAAATTACCAACCACAACAAATAAATGTTATTCTATCCTGTCTGGATAGATCACGCATAGATTCGTTCAAAAGATAATATTTGGTCGCTGTATAACATCAAGTGTTTCCCATTCTGGAAGAGTGCCTTAATTCACAACCAAAAATGCACAATTCCAGTCAACACAGGTAACGCAATCAAAAGGAGGAACGAACCGATATGGCTGCCGCCAAGACTAATTATAAAGTAAAACAACATAAGTGCAGTTCGGGAAGAAACAAAGAAAACTTAGTGAAGGCGTAATAAAAATAAAAACTATAATAAAATACAAGTATAAACAATTCAAATGTAATCAAAAACTAACAAGGTACAACTAAGGGGGTCAATAGGAACAAAGTGCAAGTATATACATGGAGGGAATTTCACACACACAAAACATTTCAAATGGATCTTACACATAAGACCTAAAATTGACGACTGTTACACTGATTCTTATTTCTGTCCAAGTTTATCTATTTCTTTTGGTCAGTATAACGTTCCTTTCTTGACGCGTATACGTTAATGCCTTCTCGGAGATTTTGAGACTGACATTCTGCAGTTTGGCTGTACTCCATATCTTGAGGAACGAAATAATGCTTTATACATTTCAGAAAGTCTTTAGTGTTTTTCCATTAAGGTAAATAGCTCATGAGCTTGTCATTTTCGACATCAGGAACATAACGAGGTAAGGTTTCTATAATATCCATTTTGAATCTTTTGTGTGTGAAAATCCCTTCATGTATACACATGCACTTTGTTCCTATTGATCCCCTTAGTTGTACATTGTTAGTCTTTTGATTACATTTGAATTGTTATATTTGTATTTTTTATTATAGTTTTATTTTTTCTCACGCCTTCACTAAGTTTTTTTGTTTCTTCCGAGCTGCATCTTTGCTGTTTTACTTGATACTTGGTCTTGGCAGCAGCCATATTGATTTGCTCCTTCTTTTGTGCGTGTTCTATCCAGTCAGGATAGAATAGCGCTCATCTGTTGTGACTGGTAATTTTTCTCGCATCTTTTATCAACTTCTTTATTTATTGTAATTTAGATTTGATTGATTGAACAATTATTTGGTTGAGTGGCCGGGTAGTAATATTTGTTTAGGTAACGATGTACATTTAAATTTATGATGAATTATAGAACTGTCATTTACCCGATTACTTGTTTTGATTTTGACGGGCAAAGGCGCGTGTCTAACCTACCTGGACGGCTAGTCTTCAGTCCAAACCGTAGTTTGGATTCCACAGTTTCCATTCACTAGCCTTTTGAATTTCATTGACATCGTCAACAGGATGAGGTTAGTGAATTTGGTGTACACTGACGGCGTTCGGACGTGGAGGTCCATGAATAGCGAGAAGGATTTATTGGAATTTTAAAAGGATATAACAATAATAGTAAAATAGGTAGTGGACAACGGACCAATATTTAACTTATCAAAATAGGATGTCTCCTGTTTCCTAGGTGAAAAGTAGCTTTTATTTTTCTTCTCTGAGCAATATCTGAAACTTGTGATCACATTTAGCATAGACATCATTTCAAACTATTTTTCAAGATGAAGCCGAAGCAAATATAGCCCTTAAATTCATACAAGGATAGCTTTATGCATTCACCCTACAGTTATTTATGATATCATTTGAATCATACTGAAGACTCCTGTTAGTACTGCGCAACATCGTTTTTTACCCCTTTTTTCAAATGTAACAAATCTCATAGGTCAGGTATAGAGATGGGAAACTAAGTGGATGGCAGAAAAAAGAGACACATCTTGTTAGCATGGACTCTGACACTCCAAATGTCTCTTGCTGAACGATAGGAGCATGAGAGGTGTCTTGATAATGGTTTATGGCATGTTAAGCTCGCCAAGTCATTGCAATAGATACGTTCTACCAGAATATTATAACCACGCTCCTCGAGTCAACCTCCAAAAAAACTTGACATAATAAAATCCCGACTGTTCTCCCACTTTTGCTCACTTGGAGTTGCCTCCATTTGAGATTATCTGACAAATAAATTGGTTTCACCCCTACAAGCAGATAGTCTTGTAGCGTGGAGTCGAGTCGCGGTTGACTATGAACACCACTACAAGAAGAGCGCGTGCCAGAAAATCAGAAGGCAGATGAAGGTTGTAACAAGGTTTATTCGTTGACGATCTCGTGGTATCGAAAGCATACCGAGATCGTGCCAAAGGAAATACAAGCGGAATCAATGGGCAGACGTGCGAGCGTAATAGGCCACAGTCAAAGGAAGAATAATGGAGGAGTAAGTGATGTCTTTAGTACAGTTAAACAAACGAGCACAGTAAAACAATCGCTGGTACAATTGGTTACAATAATAATTGTTTCCATTAAACTTATCGCGTTCTCTTGGTAAAAGTAGGTCACTACAGTCTCAAGAGAAAATTTGACAAACAGGTAACTTCTCAGGGATTACCACTTCGCTCTTGGATTAGCTGTGAGTGATGCACGTCTGATAAATTTTATACCATTACCCTCGATACATATTATGAGTTCTTCCTGTCCTTATCATTTCCATTTTCTTTTCTATTCTCACATTTTGGCGTACCATTGATGTCTTCATAAACGTTTTAGTAACAGTCGTTTCCTTTAAAATTCAGATCCACTCTTTGTTATTTTTTCAGTGCAACTAAAAAATTTTATCTCTTGTAATGTTGTATCTACTGGCTCCAGTCACCCTACTTCACTGAGACTAATGCAATTAATCAAATTATGAAATACATAAATTTACAAACAACTGTCAAGCCAACTAGAACTAGTTCAACCAAGTGACAAGATCGGCATCAATTAGATAATAAGATCCGTACTGAAACAAGAGGAATTAAGTGTGTCTGACTCATACAATACAATTTCAAAGATATTGGATTTTCACTCACTGAAAGTAGGTGGAAGTTTCTAATGCTTGCTACTTCAAGGTTACCTACTCCAGTTGCGTAGCTTATCTCTGACTATTTGCCGTGAGTATTGTAAGCATCTCCGTGTAACAAACTTCAAACCCTGAATTGTCAACTTCGTTGAAAGTAAAGTATATGGGCAACCTTTGGCCGTCAAAGAGACAATGTTTGTTGCGTCGCGAATACTGAAATTATTCACATTAAAAACATAACTATATTGTCCTTGCTTAACAAATTCAACATGGAATATAAACATTTGTGCATAAGATACCACGATTTCCATTACATTACGATATTAACTGTAGTCGATGGATTGATTGAGTTTAAATCCGATCGGTTCGCCCATATACTTTACTTCTGAAACTAGTTGAAGCCTTCTTACGTGGAACTCATATGATCGTGCATTCACATAGAGTATGTTTATTCGACTTCGGTTATTTATTATCTTTTGAACCATTTGCAAAGTGTATGAGGAAAGGGGTCATTAAACGTATAACGGTATGGCTTTAATTTGTTGCCAATTTTTTAAATTTGATAGTACCATATGACCATCACATTCGATTCCATACACTTAAAGCTCAGGGTAAATGTGCCTGTAAACATGGTAATGAAATGACCTTTAGATAAATCCGAAGTAATACTAGTGTGTTGAAACATTTCTAGCTTTCGATTCTCTCAATTGCAATTTATATGTATATGTAACCAAGCAAGACTCAGACTGGGACTAATCAACTCAGCATTTCAACTCTGTCTTGATTTGATTACTAATTATGCCACTCTTACCATTTCTACTTTTTTCAGTTTAATATTTTAATCTATGCTTTTACTAGCCATTCGCAAAAAAAACTTATTCACTTCATTCTTGAACTTTGTAGACACATCATTTACACGATAACTCATATAGTGGACTGACATCAGGGTAGTGTTTCTTAAAACATACTAATGACCAAAAAAACTATACACGTTTTCATTATTTATCTTTGATCAGCCTTAGTAAACTCTGGAAGAGTGGGACACAATATTTTTCTGTACTATGTTTTGTTGGAGGTAGGCGAGTTAATGTCATATGTATCTGGGATAACGTTTTAAAATGATGAGTTATTCAAAGGGTTTACTCTTCGGAGATTAATTGAGTTTTACACGCACATAACACAACATACTCTGGTATTATTAGTCGAATTTTTTTGAAAAAATTTGTACAGAGACCTATGTTTTTAAAAGGGTATATCCCTTTTCGAGGTGGAATAGCTATTTATTAGAATATCAAGTTTGGAAGTATTGGTTTCCTTTGATTGTTCTCAAATACCTGGAAATAACCTTTAAATACTTCCACCTAATTAGTTTTCGTTTATACTTTTGTACTTCTTTTCTCATATTTAACTTTCAGATTGAATAATATCTCCTCAGTATAGATAATGTCATCTGATTATTCAGACATGCCGTTACCTCCTAACTGGGAGTCTCGACTCGACTCAGAATCCGGCCACTGGTTTGTTGTATATTGTGTAATATTTTTGTCAATAACCATTTTATGTAGGTATTATATCAATCATGAGGATAAGACTACTAGTTGGGATGATCCACGACCTGCATATTATTCTGCTCAACAATTAGACCTTTTAGTATGATTTCATTATTATAAGTATGCTTTAGAATACTTATCGAATGGGTTTTGGTGATCGACAAGATTTGATTGGTGAATTTTTCGACATACCTGAAATTTCTTCTAAGTAAAGTTGATTCATATAATTATTCCTTTATATTTTAAAATGTTTTTATAAGTTGTATCGACTACTTATTTTTGATTGACTATAATTCATCGTAGCATTTTCAGATAAAAGATGGTCAATTGTTATGGATGTTTATCTAGTCAATATTGTTAGAATTTGTCCTTTTTATCGTTTAGCAATCCTTCATTTTGGTTACCAGACCATTTGCTTTTCAACTAATAGTTCGTAGATCCTAATTTCACCTCAGTAGCTGGGAACTAATCGTTAGCAATTCCAAGTTGTCTAAATTAACCTGTTGTTACGATTTCTTTTATTACGACCAAGCCACCCATATTGCCTAGCATTCTTGGACACTGCTTCACTCGAAAAGTCCCTAAATCAGAACACGGTTGAACAGGAACATAATTACATTCCAAATAAAAAGGTTGGATGGAAGTAGGAATCACGACAGGACAATGTTAGTATACTCAGCTTTTACACGAGATTGTAGAGTCTTCAGGTATCCACTAGCGCTGATTGGTTAAGAAATAGCTAATTAGCGTGCCCTAACACATTACTGCATGGAGCATGCTTTAATTCAATTTATGTTCTGCTGACACCTGTTATTCGTAGACGAGTTATATGTGTACATATATATATTTCTATAGAAGTTCAGTTCACTTGATTTTAAAAAGATATTATTTTACTCATAGGTCACAAAAAAATCCAAAATCTATTAACCCTAAACCATGCGGTAAGTGCCATTTTTAAGCTATTTGTTATTGCTTACATTTTCACTATAGTTTGTACCAGTAATATCTTTTTTTCAAAGTTGAGAAGAGGATAATATTTATTTATTTATTTAAACACATGAACATTGACACAAGAAGCACCAAATAGATATGCCCACACAAATCACTCGATTGATGCGAGGGCTGTGATACTGCCGGGGTACACAAACCGATGAACGTGGTTTTCTTAGGGGGCCACGCCTGGAGCCTTTGACCCAAAGGTCTGATCCACAAGACAGTGGAGCGACGTCAGGAGATGCAGTCCCATGGTAGCAGGTGACCAACGATTGGTTCATACGCCATTTGTTCCCTCAGGATCCTTGAGCACTATTGGTTTGGAATCAGGGCTTTCCAACTCTCTCAGGTGGACTTTCCGTGTTTAGCAACCCGGTTAAAGCGCCGAACATTTGCTTTTCGTCCTCTCAATTTCGTAAAGAACAGTAATGCTACGAGAAGGCAGTGAGTAGGACTTCCCTGTCAGTGGTTGTATGTACGTGGCCATGTGAGAGCATTTGGAGAGGGAGAGCTGACTTTCTCCACTCCCGGCCGTATCAGGGCATTTGAAGGGGGAAATGATAAAATACTTGTTTATGTATAATTAACCACTCATATCCCAGTCCTAGTGAACTATTGGATGTATGCAAATTTATCGGTATGCAAAATAATTTAGGAGTTTATCTAAACATATCATTGTAATCGAAAATTAACTGAAATTACTACTAAATTAAGGTTCTTCCTCTACTGTTTTGGTGAGTTGGTTGTATGATCTGATACTTGAAACTGCTTAACTGCATTTATGCTATCGTTTTTTATGATAAGACTTTGTTGTTGGTAATGGTATTTCATGGTTAGTCTCACATACGTGCTTTATGAAAATTTCATTAATTCTAAGGTTGATTCTATGATAAACTGATAAGTATCATTTACAAAACCGCTGTAAACAAATATACATTGGATAATTGTTTGATTAAGATTTTTTAGATACCTAGTACACTGAAACTTGATCATTTTATTTATTTATTTGAACACATAAATATTGGTGCAAAGGGGCACCGAATACATGTGCGCACACAAGTCACTTGATTTGTGTGTGGGCTGTGATACTGCCAGAGTGCCCAAACCAAAGTAGGCGATTTTCTTTGGGATCTACACCCGAGCGCGAATGACATCTATTTGATTCTTTCCTCACTCCTCTTTCTATCTCTTCACGACCTCATTTTCTTTTGTGATGCATATTATTTTTGCGGCCATTTATAACAATAACATTTTGTTTAAACGTTAATAACGGAATTTTAGGTGATACTTCTGTTACTACATGTTTACTTTTTAAACAAACTATTGTTTCTGTCTTTCAGCATGCATTTCATCATATGTATGTACTTTCAACTTAGTAATTGTGTAGCATTTTTCTTGTTTATCTTTTCAAGATTAAAACAACATACGCCGATGTCCCACTAACTAATGTAATTAACTTCATGTATTCAACTTTAAACCACATTATTTGTGCGAAGGTTGGTGATACTACTATCCAGTTGACCAAATCAAAACCAGTGAAGTTTGAACAAAAAATCCGATGATCAGTGTTACTAAAAACACAATCTGTATAGGAATTGTTTCGTGAAAATGCCAGGACCTTTAAATCTGGCAATAGGTATAGGTCCTTTAAATTACAAGCATTAAGTCTGTGTGTTACCGTAGGTGCATATAGTTGTTGAGTACCGAGCCTGAAAGAAGCGGATATCTAACGCTTCGTGATTTTCACCTTTTTTTTCTCTCCATGGCAAGAACCACTTTTTCAAACTTAGTATCACTATTTTAACAGTTTAATTTAAAAATTTGAATTAGTATTCATCCTACCATATTTTATCATTTTGATTTTAGATGATCGTAGTAAAGATGGTCCCGCTACAAAAACACATCGTAGTCGAATTGAACCAAATGGAGAAAATTCATCACGAAAAGATACTTATTCCAAAGGAAGAACTACTTCAACACATCGTAATCGTGAATCAAAATCAAGTGTTTGTTCACAAAATGATAATGAATCATATCATTCATCAATTTATTTTTCACCGAAAACTAATAAAAAATCTAAATATGATTCATTATTACCAAAAACACCAACAGATAATGATGATCACAATGTTGATGATAATGTTTTTGCTACGGAATCAACTAAAAAAGGGGACACATCAGAATCCACACAAAATGATAAAGAATCACTTCAAATCAAGTAAGTAACTGACACCACTTCCCTACGAGAATTCTTCAATAACTTATTTATAATTTTAGTCAAACTAATTTGCATTAATCAATTACTGAGTAGTAAAAATACCACCAAATGCCCTGGTACGACCGAGAGTGGGAAGAGTCCGCCCTCCCTTTCGAAATGCTCTCAAGTGGCCACGTGCATACAACCACTGCTGGGGAAGTTCCACTCACCGCCTTCTCGTGGCACTACTGTTCTTTACGAAATTGAGAGGACGAAAAGCAAATGTCCGGCGCTTTATCGGGTTAGTGGTTATAGAGGATCCATCTGGGGTGGGTTGAAAAATCCTGATTCCAAAACAAAATGGTGCACATGGGCTGCAGTATCCTGAGGAAAAAAATAGCGTATGAACCAATTGTTGGTCACCTGCTGCCATGTGACTGCATCTCCTGACGTCACTCCACTGCCTTGTGGGTCAGACCCCCAGGTCGAAGGCTCGGAGTGTGGCCCATTAACAAAACCACGTTCTTCGGTTTGAGCGCCCTGCAGTATCACAGCCCTCACATAAATCGATGATTTATGTGGCGCATATCTCATTGGTGCATCCTTGTCCCATTTTTATGTATTTAAATAAATAGGGTATTTTCACGATGGAATGGAATCAGTCTCTAAATTATTAAAACACGAGAAAACGAACACTGGACAGACATTTTCCTATCTAAAGTCACTCATCCACAATGAAAAATACACATTCAAGAATCTCTACAAAAACTAGATAATTCATTAAAAAAGTTAATGAAATTGAAATAACCAGATTTAAATAGTGTCTCAAAAGTTTTTCATCATGGCACCGTTTCGCTGAGCATAAGCTATTAACTAACTTAACAGGTATAAATTCATGTATTTCACTTCAGGCCATACTCTGTTTCTGAGGACCAGAGTAATGCTACTCGATTTCCTGGACTGAAGTAGCTGGGGCGGGTTCTAATCCGCGAATTAGTGGCCTAAAGGTGAATTAAACTATTTAGCTACCGCTTAACGGCAGACTTTAACATCAACACAGAAAATTATTTTAACACTAAAGATTCTAAACGAATCCTACCTATACGCTACATCACATTGTTTTTTTGTTGTTATTATGTAAATTTTTAATAAAAATGGCATACCTTTTAGTAAGATAATAGATGCCAGCCATTATAAATCTTTGCTTAAATGCTTGTGAATTAAGGCAATATCGAGGCAGTCCGCACAGGATGCACATATGCCTATAAGAGAGAGTGATCAATTGCAGCTCTAAACAACAATCAGAAGATACAAGCAAACAATGCCAAGTGAATTTAAACTTCATCCAATTACACAAGCAAGTGGCTATCAGGGCTCAGTAGCTAAGTGGATAATGCGATGGCGTTTGAAGCGAACGGTACCGGGTTTGAGTCCCGGAGTGAACATCAACTCTGAGGTGCAGCTACATCCAGCTGACGGGTCCCGAATAGATGGAGATGTGCGTCTTGAATTCCACTGCTAGCCACTATTCATCTTTTCTTAAAAAAAGCTTGTAAATTAAGGCAATACCGATGCAATCCACACATGATGCACATATGCCAATAAGAGACTGATCAATTGCAGTTCTAAACAACAATGGAAAAATACAAGCAAACGACACTAAGTGAAGTTAACGAATAATGTCTATGATTTGCATTCATTTAAGTCTAGTAGATTGATTGTTTCTTTTATTGGTAGCCAGTTTCATGTTTGTCTATAGCTTCAGAGTACTGAGTGAATTCCATCAATCACGTTGTGATATGCCCACCAGTTCTAATTAACTTAACATCATGTTTTAGAAAAGTCGGCAAAAAACCGTTTGTTTTTCCTGAAAATCTTTCTATTCTCTTTTTGATCTTTTATTTGGTTTCATGTGTTGTTTTCGCATTCTTTCTATTCAACATTTAGTAATTCCAGCAGGTTGTCGCTAGAAAAACACCTTGATACTGCTGTTACTACTACAACTCTTACTTCCGATACCGTTATTCTCACTGAAAATAATCCATTGCAAAAGGTTAATACTACAGAAATATCGGTTGAAAAGCAGTCATTGGTGAGTGCTATGTAATGTTTATCACATCACTACCTTATTTATTATTTATTTGAACACATAAATGTTGGTACAAGGGGGGACCGAATACATATGCGCCACACAAGCCACTTGATTTGTGTGTGGATTGTGATACTACTCGGGTGCTCAAACCGAGCTGGTGGTTTTCTTAGGGGACCACACACGGAGCCTACGAACTAAAAGTGACCAATAGCAGGTTCATACACCATTTGTTCCCTCAAGATGCTGGAGCTCATGTGCACTATTAGTTTGGAATCAGGGTTTTCCAACTCCCTAGGTGGACCCTCCTTATCCACCAACCCAGTTAAAGCTCCAGAAATTCACTTTTCGTCCTCTAAATCTTGTGAACAACCGTAATGGGAAAGCAATCAATGGGACTTCTCTGTCGGTGGATGTATACGTGTGACCATGTGAGAACATTTGGAGAGTGAGAGTGGACACTTCCCTTCCTCTGTCATATCAATGGATAAATTTATACATTTCGATGCAGGAAAATATACATTAAGGATGATCGTCGTGTTCATAGTGCACCGTTGGACTCCGATTTGAATGTTTGAGCGTTCGTCCTAAAACCTGAAAGTCCTGAGTTATATCCCTAGCAAGATCGTAGGTGCGTATTTCTAGGGAGGCTCATACTAAACCAAAATATGTGTATGGTCCTTTCTGGTTTTCGATGGTACACCATCTGAGATGACTGCGATAAATTCAGGGAAGTATCAAACTATTAGCTTGGACTACACTAGTTTTTTTTGCGTAGCCTTTGGACTTAGTGTGTTATTGAAAGATTCAACTTTCTACCACCTAATCGTGAATATGACCATTGCCTTTCCTACTTTGGTTTAAAAACAACGTTGTGATATACTTCAGAAACCATGAAGTCATTGACTGTTGATTTAAGCCTTGTTAGTTGTTATAGACTACCTGCGATCAGTGGTTTCTCACGTTGGATGACATGGCCCAGAATCGGTCACAATAGTGGAAATGTATTCCAATTTCTCTTCATATACACCTTTTCTTTTCGTCTTCTTGAACCACATTCTCAATATTTTATCATTTTTTTACTGTGTTTGTTACGACAACCATATCTCCACGTATTTGCTATTTATCTTGTCTTGCTAATGTGCTACAATAACTTGTGTTAACATTCATTTTTGTCATAATCTACGTGATTATCACTGACTTAATTTATGTTTCACAATGTGGCTCAAATTTAAGTTTAGGACCCCATAATTAGCCATAGGAATGTTAATTATTATCTGGTATTATTAGTTTACTTACTTATTTACGCCTGTTACTCCCAATGGAGCATAGGCTGCCGACCAGCATTCTCCAACCCACTCTGTCCTGGACCTTCCTTTCTTGTTCTATCCAATTTTTGTTCATTCTTCTCATGCCTGTCTCCGTTTCTCGGTGTAATGTGTTGTTTGGTCTTCCTCTTCTCCTTTCGCCTTGAGGATTCCATGTGAGGGCTTGTCTTGTGGCGCAGTTGGGTGCTATCCTCAATGTGTGTCCTATTCACTTGCAGTGCTTCTTCCTGATTTCTTCCTCCGCTGGGATCTGGTTTGTTCTCTCCCACAGTAGGTTGTTGCTGATAGTGTCTAGCCAACGGATCCGAAGTATTTTGCGTAGACAGCTATTAATAAACACTTATATTATTAGTTTAATCGTCTAAAAGTCGTTCACCACTAATCACTAATCCTAACCACATAACAGGTTTACATAAGAATTTCTAGAGGAAACCTTTTTGGATAGACAAGATGGCTATATTATGAAACTGTAATGATAACTGCACTTGTTCAATTCATCCAAAGCAAATTTTTCTGACCGATTATAATAAAGAACAGGATACAGATATGATATATATTGCATCAATACAGTTTATATACTGTGGTCTAAGTGAAATTTGTTCATGCATTTTCTTTTTTTGTATAATTCATAAATACGTCAATCTATTGCATAAGATAACAGTGAGTTGAAAAAAACTTCTTAATCCTTAGAGCTCTTTCATTCTTGAAACTTGAATAGAAAACGAAAGTATGCCAAAACCTTTATTTTCAAGATTAGTTCATGTATAGAAAACTTTACTGATTAAGCTGTCGATTGTTTTTAATGTACAAAATCTGCAGTTATGTAGTTTGCATGAGTTCTGCTCGCCGTACCACTTTCTTCTTTTCTACAGTCTGTACCATGCTCTCCGTCGAAATGTCGAGTCTGAGGCGCGTTGATATCCATAGCTCCGTCGACCTGCCGGGCCATCAAAATCCTACGTAAACCCAGCGCCTGGGACGTTCAGCAGATGCTCTCCAGCGACCTGCTGAGCCATCTACATCCGATATCCACCCAGCAGTCGTATGTCCCGTCACTCCTTTCCGTCGGCAACACCCACCACAGACAATGCCTCCCCGCCAGAACACCACTTGACGTTCACTCTCCTCACGTTGACCTCCCTTCCCGACCGTAGCTACTACCTTGCCGTAGTGGTCGGGCTTGCCTATCGTGGTGACCCAACCGAGCTCTATTGGCTAGAACATATTTTCCTGTAGTTTCTACCATTCCAGGCAGGTCGATTGGAGAACTGTAAGACTAAAAGTAGTAACTCTAGGTCTGAGGGCGAAGTCGTACTGTTGACAGCAGTAAGATGCCTCCTTCGGACAACCAGCATCTCCAGCGATGCTGCCTCCTCACAAGGAAAGAAGTGATTAAAAAAAGTCGACCTTAAAAACTTCACGCCTCACCTTACCTCACGAATTTCCGTCTTCGGCGGTAAGGCCCTTTGAAGAACGGAGCTAGCACGTTAAAAACCCCCCACAAAAAGGTTGTGCGCGACCGCCCTCAAGCAGTTGTCCCTTGGGCTCTACGGTCACGCTCCCAGGTCGTTAAGACCAACATTAATCCGATTTCCTTTTCAGGTCCCTCAAGAAATACTCTTCCACTATGTGGGCGGCCAGGAAGTGATATCAGCCCTCATACCCGTAACAATACACGAGACCAAGTTGGTCACATTCAAATCCTTCCTACTCACCAGACTATTCCAACCAGCACCTCAGGTCAAGGTCCACAACGGCATACACAGAACAGCACCCTTCCTCCCATCCTGGTTGGTAGCGAAAACAAATTAGTGAATGAGAATACAAGTGGGGACATTCGAATTTATTTGAACACAAATATACAGAACGTAGTAAAATCTGAGAAGCATAGAGTAAACAATTCATTTACAAAATGTCAATTGTCTCAGGCTTCACAGTTCCTTTATTTTCACAACAATCATTCTCTGTTCTCGTTTTCTTCTCTTCGATCTTCTTAATCTTCTGCCTCCAGGCATTCTACTTTCAATTGGTGATACATACTACTTATATCTGCCGACATCAGTAGCACACACTACAGAAACAGTTTTCGAGTGTTTCCTTATTTTTAATGATTGTCTTACTAAGATTAGTCCTTCACATGAACTATAAGATTCATATTTACTAAGTTTTATTGTCAGTTTTTTATTTTAATTAATTATATTCTTTATTTAGAATAATGGATCATCTATATATCCAGACCAAACCATGGGTTAATTCTTTGCTCAACTGAAAAATCACGTCGTTATCAACCTGTTGGTCCAAATCCTAAATTACTCGGTTCACGTATAATTCCACATGGTCCGAATCCTTTATTTGTTCATGGACCAAATCCATCATTAGTACATGGTTCAATTTATCAATAAGAATACATCTCTTCTCCTTATTAAATATAACAATGTAGTGTCGATTACTAGATTAACTCCACATAGATTATTCTAGCTTCGGGACAGGGCAATTTATTCATTGTTCTGAATTCACGTCTTGACCTTGTTTATTATCCGCTTATGTAGGTGTATGTGTGCATTTCCTATCTTACTCATCAGATGTCTGTAACTTATTTGTATCTGGCTAAATAAATATTGATTAACGCTTGATTAAATAAGAGTTGGCTCATATGTCTTCTCCACTGTGCATCATTTCATTTCGCTTCATTCGCTGCAATTCTCTGATTGTTTGTTCCAATCAACAAGTGTACAAAATATACACATTCAAAGATCCATTCTCGTATTTGACTTATTTGATTACGTTATTCAATAGTTATATACGAGAATAGCCAATATGTATATCATCTCAACAGTAATCAGAAATGATCTAACTGGAATCAGATCTCAGGCTATTAAAACAATACAGATTTTATTCATTGATAATGAAAGCATTTATTTATTACTCAAACACATACATTCAATAATGAATACCAGAATCACCATTGTGATATACAACAAATGCTATTTTCTTAAGAGAAACCTTTCATTGGATAACTTTTCTATGTTGAATTGTTATATCCCGATAAGAATAATGAATGGTAACTTTTGGAATCCATTTATAGAGCAATAATAAACGTATATTTTTATCTTATAATTGTTAAGTAATTAAACTACGCTTATTCATGGTGCTCTTATTATAAGCTTTCATTTGACCTATGAACTGTTATTATACGATTTATCATTCTTGAGTTATGCTCTGTCAATCAATTACTATCTCCCTTATTCACAGCTACATTTGGCTAAATCTTGTACAAATGTTGTTTCCAATTTATTGGTACAATGTGATCTGTCTGGTTGGTATATAAACCTCATAAATGATTCATGTCGCAGAGGCTAAGATTGATGTTCTAGATCGAACTGACTGAGCTAGACACGAAACAGGATCAAGAAGGACTCTAGACTGCTTGCATGGGTTTTAGGCGTCATTGGTCCGATCAATAATTCACTACTCTCTAATTGGCGGTATCATTAACAGGACACACAGGCCACAAGTTATAACATGAATAGATCTAACATTCTTTAAACTAAGATCAAACAAAATGAATGAGAAGCTTATCTCAATTCAAACAATAACTAAATCTATTTAATTGTGTTTTACTAACAAAACAGTAGAGTAGAGATAAATGAAAAACCTTTGACTTTCATTCGAATCAGGGATATTCTTTATAAAATTGAAAAAGAAGATGCTTAACCAGAAGACAAGGTTTCCTCGGTTGAATTTCTTGTTGAAACTTTTTTTGTTTTTCTTGCTTTTTTCATTATTAGTTATCGTTGTTCAATTTTGTGTTTATATCCTTTAACCTTCCGTTGTTTGTTTGTTTTTCTCTTTAAAATGTTATCGTTTTATTTGTGTGATGCTTATTGTTTTCGTTGCCCAATAATTGTGTCAGAATGTATATGTGTAATTAAATAAATAAATGAGGACAATTCACTTGGCATTATTTGCTTGTATCTTCCCATTGTTGTTTAGGACTGTAATGGATCAGTCTCTTATTGATATATATATATATTCATCCTGTGCGCATCGCCTTAATTCACAAGCATTCTAAGCCCAGCTACTAGAGAGAAAAGGCGAGGATTGAGAAAGGAAGTTCGTTGGCTAGCCAAATCAAGAAGCAACTATACGCTTGATTGATATAACGGGATATAGGCGAAATTACATTTTTCACTCATTCAATATTGTATATACATATCCCTAAGAAAGATAGGCCATTCAATAGCTTATACCTTATCCATTGTAAAATAAAGCCATTCTTTCACTAATCACGCGCATTTATCATTAGCGATTTTTGATTGGCCAATCGTTGTATTTAGTGGTTTTAAAGTAGTACCTTAACTTCTTCAAATTTCACCAAGGATTCTTATTATATGAAGTCCTGAAGTTGTGCATATATATATTTATTTATTCTCATCGAAATGGATCATCCATACATAGAAGAATCAGATGATTCGAATGTTTTTAATGAACACAAACTGAACTTTAACCGAACAAGGTAAATGAGAATGTAAACTGAGATCTTCTGGATTGAAGACAGTTACAAATTGTTGTGACGGCTTCCTAGAATTACGAAAGAAACTCTAGAAGTCCTAAAGTAGCCGAAGAGTTTCCATTCAATCATAACGTGACAGAACTCTAGAATATCGGCGTGGCATACTACTACTACTGGACAGTGGCATAACATGCCGCTTTGAAGATTGGCTGAATTATAATGTTGATATAACAAACGCTAATATCTATAAACACCCATGATTTTCTGTACATTTTGATTCTTACCCAACAAACACTTCTCCAGCTTTCTTCTGATTTGTGACTGTGGGATTCTATACATTCGAGTGTTGTAGTTGTATACCGTATTCTACGTTATTCAAGTAGTGAACATAATACAAACAAGACTGAAGGAACGGAAAACATCATGCTATATAGATGTATGAAATTGAACTGAATATGATTCTGTGTAACAAATTCTGCACTTATAAATGTAACCGGTTTATTCTAGTAGTGCTTTTAACACAGACGATAGAGAAGTACAAGGAGTTTGTGAGACCGTGTGGCTTACATTATGAAGTGACCTTAGTTAACCGGTGAAAATAAAGTACTTAATAAATATTTCATTCTGGTAAGGAATATCCCAGCAGTGTGTGTCCTCAATCCCACTAAGGATTGGATCCAGCACCCTTAGGTTTTGCTGTGTGTTTAACCTATAGATAGCTCAGTTGCCACCCAATGGTAGGGTTTTGGATGTATACAACTGAGACATGTCATATCAGGATGAAAGAGTTGTTCATTGCTTCGGTTTGTCTAATACCAGTTCATGATGTAAATTCAGAATGATTAAACATAACACGAAAATGTGGAAGTTTGAATTTTACTAAATTAATATATTAGTAGGAATAAGTAAACTAGTTAATGCCAAAAGTTATTACATTTGTGTAGAATAAAAAAGCTGAATAGATTATAATTGAATTCATATGATACTTCCATAGATAAACTAACATTTTCTCTACTTAAACAGGCAACACATGATAATCCAAGGTTTCAGAGTTGGTTTTTCGAATCCAAAATATATACAACCCGATTTCTATAGGTATTTGACTTATCATATGACTACTAATCAATCAATTAGTCCATCATTCGTACTACTTAAGGAATGTGATATACCATGATTTATCCAGTATGTAAATGAAATGAGCTGTTGAGTTTTCTATTGAAGCTTAATCTATTCATTTGGTGTTGTTTACTTGTATCTTACCATTGTCATTTAAGACTACAATTCATCAGTCTATTCTTAGCATGTGTGCATCCTGCCTCTATATTGCTTGAAGTCACAAGCTTTATAAGCAAAGATGGATAGTAATTAGAAGAGGAATCCAGTGTGACGCGCGTTCCGTCCTATTTGGGACTCGTCAACTGGATGTACTTACATCTCAGGTTTGATGTTCACTCTGGGACTCGGACCCAGTATCGTTCGCTACAAACGCCATCGCCTTATCCATTTAGCTATTGAATCCTGATAGCCAAATGATTAAAATACCTCTTTTCAAGTGGACCAAATATTTAGCGATAAAGTTAGATGCAAGAGAAAGATTATCATATGTCCGTCTCTTGCGATTTCCCGTAGCTGATTCACTATCTGAAAGATTGCTGGTAAATTGAGTTAAGAAAATTCGGACCTGATAACGCATTTGCGGTCGGAGAGTAAAATTTGAGAACCAGTCATCCACAAGGTAGGACCAGGTACATATATACATCGGTTCAAATTGCCACACCTCATTAGCGTAACAAGGTAAACAACAAATTCGTTGAAGTAGTTACTTCAATGGTAGTAATATATAGAAGAAAGGTTATGTATAATGATATAGTACAGGAAGGAAGAATTAGTTCGTAGGAAGAAAGATATAAAGTAATTTTAATCTCATAGTTTAAGAGAAAACAGAGAGTATATACACCTACGCCATTGTGATCGATTCTGAGCCATCTCACACAGAGTCTCCAACCATTGATTACGATAGTCAGGCAGACCCCAACCAAGTAGTCTGTATCTACTAACATGGCTCAGAACAGACGTTAGTGACTTCAAGGACAGATGCCATGTTTGGTTTGGCCGCCCTCATAACTTTCTTCCAACATGTAACACGTGGCCCAACCATCTCAGTCGATGAAGATGCACAACTTCATCAACTGATTTGCCGTCATTTTCTAATACACTACTTCTAACCTCACTATTACTTACCCGGTGATCCCAACAGATGCTGGCAATATTTCTTAGACATCTGTGGTCACAACCTGAGAATATCCATAGACGTTTTGAGTAACTGAATATGAGATAATACAAGTGAATTATCTACCAAAAAATGTGGAGTACCACATGAAGAAATGATACGATTAGTGTATATTGAGCATTTCAAAGCCTGTATAATCACAATGTATCAACTGTACACACCAGTATTTAAATATGTACGTTATAACAGCGGTTTACATTACTTATAACAATCAACCTTCATTCATTTTGTTAAAAATCCGAATCCCATTTCATCTTATTTAACTTGAGCGGTCAGATATTATACTAATAGCCATCATAACTAAAAGGAATGAAAGCCGAGCAAGCGAACTACTGACTAGTTACTTAGTCGCGGTTGAAGTTGTTGGAGTTCAGATCTGTCAAAAATGAAACAGTTGTCACTCATAACTATGAATGATAGTTGCGTCACATAGCAAGTTGATTAAAGCTGGAATTATACCACTGGATGCCGACCCAGTGGTTAGGCGTTCACTGCGTGCAATTAAAACCCTGGGTACGGTCAAACGTGGGAAGAGTTAGCTTCCCTTCTCGAAATGCTCTCACATGAACACATGTATACATCCACTGACAGGTAAGTCCTACTCACCATCTCTCAGCATTACTATTGTTCACGAAATTGAGAGGACGAAAAGTGAATGTTCGGTGCTTTAACCGGGTCGATGGACACGGAGAGTCCATCTAGGGGAGTTCGAAAACCCTCATTTCAAACAAATGGTATACATGCGCTACAGGATCCTGAGGGAAAAAAGGTGTATGAACTTATTCTTTGTCACCGGCTACCATGAGATTGCATCTCCCAACGTTGCTTCACTGCCTTGCAGATTAGACCTTTAGGTGAAAGGTCCGAGGAGTGGCCTTCTAAGAAAACCACCTGCTTCAGTTTGGGCACCTGGCCAATATCTCAGCCCCTATACAAATCGGATGATGAAGTGTGGCGCATATATATATTTAGTGCCTCCTTGTACCAATGTTTCTGTGTTTAAATAATAATGATCTCTAGTGGTACTATAGATTGGCATTGTTGAATACCATATTAGAGCAAAACAACTCTCCAGTGTTCGTATGACGAATACCATCTACGAATATGTAATTAATGAATGAATCAATTTAAATCCAATACTAAAATAGTACATACATAAATAAAATGGCTACCTTTTCATATTTATACTCGAAGACTATTGACCATGAGTTACTAATTGCAATTAAAATAGAGTAATATTAATGATATTATCAGTAATAATGATGATACAGGCTTAAGATGACAAACAACACAAAAAAAAGAGGAGTGCGATCCAAATAACCAACCATAGAGAAGTAAGACAGAAAGGTGTATAGAATGATGAATAATCACATTTACAAAAACAAAAAGCAAGTCCTTTTTTTTTAAAATTTCAATGATATCCCCTCGTAACAGAAACAATTGACAAGTAGACATCTGAAAGACACCACACACACACCCACACACATTGTCTTCAAAGAACTAGATGAAACAATCAGTCCTTAATTCAACATACAACAGAATATATAGTTCGATAGATACCAATCATAATATCATACTATTAGATAAGACAAGAAAAAGGGGTACTAATGATGCTCTTAGCAACAATTGGAAGAAGAAAATACATAGCAATACGCGAATTGTGAACACAGTAGGAACAGATGAATTATCAATGTACTTTTTTATTCTTATTTGTTCATGAATCAATATTATACTGTTTACAGCAGTTAAACCATCACAACCAGTGTTGTTGATTTCTATGTTAGATAGTTGAAATTTCTATAATAAAAGTTACTTCTTTTTTTAAATAAAGAATAGAAATATAAAAAGAAATGAAAGCTTTCTATACAGAACTAATTGAGTGGGGGAAAAGAAAGAAGAAGAAGACGATGATTCAACACATACGAGATCATAAAAAAAGAACAAGGTGACTATTAATCAGAAGTCAAGGAATAAATGAGCATTGTTTAACATCAATCCAATCATAAGAAACAAAATGGGAACACAGATTAAACATACTACTCATTAGAAGTAATAATGAACAAGATTTATTAACATTGTATCGAAGAGAAGAAACAGTGAATCCTCATCATCATCAACAACAACGTCAACAAAAAGACAATTCATCACATACAAGATCTAAAAGGAAGAAGAACAAGATGACTACTAATCAGAAGTCAAGGAATAAATGAATATTGTCTAATATCAATCCAATTAAATGTAATGAGAAGAATTCAATACGAACACATTAAACATGCTATTCATTAGAAGTAACAATGAACAAGATCCATGAATACTGTATTGAAAAGAAGAAACAGTGAATTATCAACAACAACAAACTTACTTACACCTGTCACTCCTCGTGGAGGAGTATAGACCATCACCCACCAGCACTATTCATCTAACAACAACAAATAAGGTTCATTTATATTCCAACAAGTTTATGAATGAACAAAGAGAATACATAATTCAGTTAAAGATGAGTTTTTACTTATCATTTTTGACAGATAAAACTGAAATACAGAAGAAGAAGAAGAAGAAGAAGAGGAGGAAGAAGAAGAGGAAGAAGAAGAAGAAGAAGAAGAAGGGAGAAAAGAGAAAAACAAATTGGGAAAATACATATTCAATAAACTGTTCTTTAATAAAAACGATAATAGATATGTGTATATGATAAAGAAAAGAAAGTTCTTTTCCGAATGAATGAATGAAGGTTGTCAACCATATATTCATGTGTGTGTGTGTGTGTAGGTTTGTATGTATCAAATATGAAGATATACTTCTTTTTTTTTAAATTCTAAAATAAATTAGCTACATCCATTGGAAGTTCACTAATTTTTGTACTATAAAATTTTTCTAAATCTTTTAATAAACGTTCATCAGCTAATGTAACAAAATTGATAGCAACACCTTTACGACCAAAACGACCTCCACGACCAATACTTTAAAAAAAAAAAATTAAATAAATAGAGAGGGGGAGGGAAAGGAAGAATTAAAAGTTACTTTATGAAAGAGATTAATATAATTATCAATATAGGATTGTGGAGATTATTAATTTATTGATTAAGATCATGAATCAATTGATGTTAGATCATCGACGTCTACTGTTTCTAGGTTTTCAATGATGATGTAACATCAATCGGTTCATGATATCAATCAACTGCTCACTAGTGACTGACTTCAAGAGATACTCCTGGAGTTCTAGTGTCAAGCAGTGACTAGTGGAATTCAACCAGGTCTGTAGTGAGATATCAGCTTACTGAAGACAATGGCATACAATGGCGCAACTTCGTGGATTGGTTGAAGTTAGACATTAACACTATTGGATGCCGGCCAGCTCAGTGGTCTAATGGTTAAGCGCTTGGTCCGAGACTGATATGTCCTGGGTTCGAATCTCGCGGGGTGCGGGATCGTGGATGAGCACTTTTGAGGAGTCCCATACTAGGACGAAACGGCCTTCCAGTACTTCCAGGTTTCACATGGTGATCTAGCTTCAATTGACTCATGATTTCAATCTGTGAAATTAATACAATTATCAAAAAAATTGTACATTTTCCTTCAAGTCGAATGATGGCTTGAAATCATGTTAAGAAATTAGCTTTCGGACTCAACAGTTAAATGTACACTGTATCCCAGTGTTGATATTTATAGGATGTAAATATAGTGATAGATATTGATCACTTGTAAGGCTTAATATAAACATCGGGAAAAATTCAAATCTCTACGTATTAAATTATGAGCCATTCCAAATTGATGATATGCAGAGACTTTGTATTTATTTATTGATTTTGTCTGAAAGGTGCTTATGTGAAGGAGTAATACCATACAGCGGAACATAATGTCCAGTAATATGCTTTTTTTAGGGCAAAATGGAAATAGCTCAACTGATGTTAGCACCTGACTAATGACGATCCACAACCCGATGCTACAGAGAACTATATAGACAGGGTCCCAGGAACTGCCAACGGACAAGGTTGGGTGTCCAGTGCTTTCTCGAGACTATAAACCGAACCACAATCCCTACACGGAATTACGTGTGGTCGAAAAGCGAGGTCAAGTCATGTATGAAGTAGAGGTGAAAGAGACAGGTGGACTCGACACCGGCGTCAGCTACCAAAATGATTAACCTTATATCTCCCATAGACAAACAGAAATCTCCTGCTTAAAGTTCTGATGGATACAATCAACGTACCCCCGGTCGCGATGAATTTCATAAATGAACTGACTTGCGTTTCAGAAGGTTGATGAGACAACGGCGACAAACAGTCAAGATGCAGTTGAATACCAGGAATATACGCTAATGAAAATGGGAGTTGTTAGGGATGCTAGATCTTCAGAATGCACTCGGTAAACTTCTTTTTTTGTGACTTAATTGTGAAGACTTTAATTTTACATTTTCGCCACAAAAGCGCCTATTATTACTTTCAGTTTGTTTCCCACCTGAAAGGAGCTTAAACGTCATTGGTTTGTTTCATCTTTTAGTATGTAATTTTGTGACACTTTTCAATGACATTTTTGTTTTGTATATATTACGCATGAGTTGAGTGCTTGTTATTCGTTCTTCCGGGTTGCTTTTAAAATTATATATCTATTCTCTGTTGATTCTGATATTCTTTCTCTAGTTAGCAGGGTTGATGTGCAGACGAATGTCTCATCTTCGTCCTGTTAGTGTTGTTGGATTACATTCCGTTTGCCAGTTTAAGGTGATATCTTAGTCCCTCGAACATAGTAGTACTAGACTCGTATTATGTATATGGTTAAAGTTGAGTTTCTATACCTTGAAAAGTATGTAATGCATTAATCTAACATGAAAACTGGTTAACTTGGCCTAGAAACTATCGAAACAACGATGAGATGTAGGTTGACATGATAAACTGATCAGAAATAACTTTTTCTGCCGTTCCAAATTGAATACTGGATTATAAGAGCTCCAGTAATCATCGCAATAAAGTGCATAAATATTCTGAAAAGACAAATAAGTTTTTTTACCGAATGATTTTCGTATTCAAGGCATAAAAAGCAATAACTAACATAAAAAGTTAATTCTTTAAGCATACACTTTATTTTTGTTCCATATTCTAACTTCCCAAAATGTGGTCATCAAAATAGGGAACATTCGTAAGTCGCTAGTATTTGGTTATGAATACCTGAGAAGTACCGCTCTCGTATTATGGGACCATTGTGTAAACAACATTGAGGTTAGACAAAGAGTATTAGATAAATATAGATAATAGGCAGGTAATATTGTTAATATTCGACAACTAACGGGATTAGTACATAAATTACATATACCCAACGATGGCCTATAACAATCTGCGATGATAATTAGTATAGGAATAGGTTTAAAGAAACTAAAGTTATAAAAATCAAGGAGTCATATCAGTCTACAAAATTACTGATTATCGGAATAAGCTGAGTAGGAATATGTAAACTCCCCAGTTGGAGACTTTAAGTGACATAACACAGAATTAGTCACAATGGTGCAGATGCATTCACTCTTTGTCATGGATACTATTGATGTTTCTACTAATTTGATATTTGTTGTAATAAGTTGTACGTTTCGTTGTGTTTATACAGTGTAGCATCTAGAACCGATATATACACGTGCCAGTTTCTACAATGCTTATAACCTATTGACTAATTCTATATTACAAATAAATTTCTTATACGATTCGCAGTGTTTTTGGTTTTGATTTGATTTGATTTGAACACACAAATATTGGTACAAAGGAGCACCAAATACATATACACCACAAAAGTCACTTGATATGTTTATAAGCTGTGATACTGTTAGGGTACTCAGATCAAAATAGGTGGTTTCCTAAGGGGACCATACCCGGAGCCTTCGATCTAAAGGTCTGATCCACAAGGCAGTGGAGTAACATCAGATGCAACCACATGGTAACCAGTGACCAACATTTAGTTCATACACTATTTGTCCCTTCAGGATACTGGGGCCCCATGCACACACCATTGGTTTGGAATCAGGGTTTTCCAACTCCCCTAGATGGATCGTTCATATTCACCAACCCGTACGATGCATCGGATATTCGCTTTTCGTCCTCTCAATTTTGCGGTATTAATAATAATAATAATAATAATAATAATAATAATAATAATAGTATAATATTCACTTACCGATGTATATAACTTTCTAAATTTGTTGGTAAATCAAAATTAATTACCAATGAAATTTGTTGTACATCAATACCACGTGATAATAGATCAGTAGATATTAAAATACGACTTGAACCACTTCGAAATGCTGTCATAATATTATCACGTTCTATTTGTTCCATTTCACCATGCTAATGAATTATTGAATATAAAAGAATCATACATAAGATAAATAAAACATTGAAAGTTTAGTTAAATAAACTGTAATATTGATTTCAGTTGATGATATTTTATTCTAACACCGACTGTAGCTCTTCTAGGATTAATGCTAATCATAAGCCCATACAAAGGAGGAGGGTTGGGGATAAGGTCGGCAACCTCATCTTATTAAATATAACCTTGCTAAAAAGAAAACGCTAACCAGAATAAAAAATATTTTATTTTAGTATTGAATGTGATACAGTCGAGTTTAAGTTTCTATAAAGCTATAAAGCCCCCAAATGCCCTGGTACGGCCGAGGATGAGGAGAGACAGTTCTCTCTCTCTAAATGCTCTCACATGACCATGTTTATACAGCCACTGTCAGGAAATTCCTACTTACTGCCTTCTAGCAGCATTACTGTTTTTTACGAAATTGAAAGGACGAAAAGCGAATGTCCGGTGCTTTAACTGGGTTGGTGGATATAAAAGATCCACCTAGAGGGGTTGGAAAACCCTGATTCCAAATCAATGGTGTACATGGGCTCCAGTATCCTGAGGAAACAAATGACGTATGAACCAATCGTTGGTCACCGACTATTATGGGACTGCACTTCATAACATTGCTTCACTGCCTTGTGGATCAAACATTTAGATCAATGGTTTGGGGTATGGCCACCTAACAACAGCAAACGCTTCGATTTGGGCACCCAGATAATATCTCAGAACTCGCACAAATCGAATGATTTATGTGGTGCATATCTATTTGATGCTTCCTTGTACCAATGTTTGTGTTGGAATAAATACATAAGGCTACTACAACCGATTTCGAGCTAATGTCTAACACAGTGTGCAATCATTGATCACGATTATCATCTGAACATAAATCAGTCAGTTTCTTATCAACCAATACGTAAAAAACCAACGTTTAATGACTTTATAAACTGATTTTGAGACACAATTTCTATGAACCCTTGTTTTAATCTACTCATTGTTTTAAATCAATCAATATTGCGCATCAATGCAGGTGATGATCTAACAGATGTGATACACGTCCCTGTTATCTCAGACAAAGAAGATTTACTGTCTTGTCAATTGATCCACCCCCCATTTGTATCTAATACTCTATAGATAAAACTTTTGATGAAATTTTAAAGTTTTATTTTGTTTACAATAGTGATAAGTCTTTTAATTGAACTCTTAGTTTCATAATCTCTTTTGAGTAACTTCCAGATTAAATCTACATGGCAAATTGAACACGAGAGAAAAGGTGCGAAATATGGAAAAAATGTTTTACTCCAATGTTCGTTTATGTTCTGAAAATCTAGGGTATTTATAGTATTTTAGATGGTCTCGAGCTTCCGGAAAATTCTGGAACGCTACTAAACGTAGTAGCGATATAGGTAATCATCCAATCAGAAAGTTAACATTTGACTTGTCACGTTCCAGATGCTTCTGGCAAAAGTTCTAATGAATGTTGATTGGATAAGGTGTTTCTCAGCATTTTCAGATGAGTTTTCTGAATTTCCCCAACATTGAGAACCAATGTAAGACTAACATTTTACAAGGTATATTTCTATTTGTAAATCAGATGGCTTAGTGGTTAAGTCATCAGTAAGTCTCAGTTTCCAGATACCCAACCGTTGTTGCTACCTTGACGTGGTGATCGGGCTTGCCTAGCGTGATGAAGCAACCGAGCTATACTGGCTGGAACAACCGTTCCGAAGGCGAAGTCGTACTGCTCACTGTAAAGAGGTGTGACAGCAGTACGCTGTTTCCTTCAGACAACCAGCATGACAGCGATGTTGCAGTTCCACAAGGAGGGGTGGAGTTAGAAAACGTCGACAATAAAAATGCACACCTCGCCTTATCCCACGCATATCCGTTTCCGGCGGTAAGGTCTCAACAAGTACGGAGCTAACACGAAAATTACTCACAAAAAAGTCGTTTGTGACCGACCTCAAGCAGTTGTCCCTTGGGCACTGAGGTCATGCTCTCAGGTCACTAAGACCACCTCTAATCCAATTTCCTTTTCAGGTACCTCCAGAAGAACCCTTCCACGGTGTGGGCAACCGAAAAGTGATAACCGCCCTCATACCTCTAACAGCACTCAAGACCACTGAGTTTCCAGATAGATAATATTTACATGTAGTATATTACAATAGTCTAAATCACCATAAAATGAAATGTGAATTATACTTACCATTGCTGATACAATAAAATCACGCTCAATTAATTCGTTTGTTAACCATTCAACTTTTCTACGTGAATTACAAAATATTACTGCTTGTGTTATTGTAATTGATTGATATAAATCACATAATGTTTCTAATTTCCATTCTTCTTGTTCAACATTAACATAAAATTGACGTATACCATCTAATGTTAATTCTTCTTGTTTTAATAAAATACGTACTGGATTACGCATAAATTGTTTTGATATTTCTAATACTTCATCAGGAATTGTTGCTGATAATAAAATAATCTGAGAAAAAGAGAAAAAAATATATCAGTAGGAGTTTTGTGAAGGTTGTAGTAATTTCAATGGTTGAAATTATGGAAGTACTGGACAGCCGTTTCGTCCAACTGCGGGACTCCTCAGTAGTGTGCATCCACGACCCCACCTCGCGAGATTCAAACCCAGGACCTATCAGTCGCGCGCGCGAACACTTAACCGCTAAACTACTGACCCGGCCAATATCCAACGGTGTTAATATCTGACTTCAACTAATCCACGAAATTGAGCGACATATCCACTATTGTCATCAGTGAGTTACTATCTCACGACAGGCCCGGTTGAAACCTACTGGTCGCTGCTTCTCACTAGAACAAAATATTGAGAAGTACACGTAAGAAAACAAAATGGTAAAAATACGGATACAGAAATGAACCATTCAAAAGTAGGCTCTTAAATGCCTTTGTGCGGCCGAAGGTAAGGAGAGCCAGCTCTTCCGCTCTCTCTCTCCCGAAATGCTGTCATATGGCCACGCGTATACAGCTACTCAGAAAGAAGTCCTTCTCGCTACCTTCTCGCGGTATGAATGTTGTTCACGAAATTGAGAGGACAAAAACTGAATGTTCGATGCTTTAACCGGGTTGGAAGAGACGGAGGATCTATCTAGGGGATTGGTGAACACTAATTCCAAACCAATGGTGTACATGAGCTCCAGAATCCTGAAGGAAGAAATGGCATATGAACCAATTATCGGTCACTGGTGTTGGTGATGTTAGATCCCCAGAACTCACTTGGTAAATACCTTATTTTTGTTATTCTATTTTGAAAATTCGAGTTTTTTGTTTTCACGCCAAAATCGCTTTTTCAATTTCATGTCGTACTTCCCACTTGAGAGAATCTTAAACGTTATTGGTTCATTGTATCTTTTAGTATGCTATTTTGTAACACTTCCCAATGACAATTTTATGCTGTATATATACTTTTGATTTGTGTTTGTCGTGGTTCTTCAAGCTTCTGGCTGCTTGCGAAATATATTTCCCCGTTTCGAACTTGAACTTCTCTCTCTAGTTAGTGGGGTTGGGACGCATCATAACAGCTAGCTTATTGGTGTTTGGTCAGAGTTTTTGTTCCGTTCGCAGAGTAGGTGAACTCGTAATCGCTTCAAACATAACAACTGGCTACCATAGGACTGCATCTCCTGACGTCGCTCCACTGCCTTGTGGACCAGACCTTTGGATCGAAGGCTTCGGGTATGATCCCCTAAGAAAACCACTTACTTTGGGTCTATACATACGGGAAGTATCATAGTCCTCACTCAAATCGAATGATTTGTGCGATGTATATCTGTTTTGTACCTCCTTGTACCAATGTTTATGCGTTTAAATGAATAAATAAGAATAATTATTATGGAAACTACAAGGGAGAGTTGAATCTCCTCACTCTCAACCATAACAAGGCATTTGGGGGTTAAATGAAAAGCAACTTGTTTTATAGAAATTATGTGTAAATTGAAAGATTTGTTTATTTAGCAATTGAATTTTTCACTAAAAGAACTTTTTTAACAAATATCAAAATATAAGATATAATAGAAGTATATATTAAAAGAATGACTATATAAAAACTTGAACAACATCACCTGTAAATGGATTTTGTGTTGATGATGTTGTTCAGAAGAATGATGAAAGGTCCACGACCAAACAATCCAGCTCAAACAAAGAAACTCCATTAAAATCATCCACCATCTCACAATTAACAATGTTTAACTGTTTTACTAATTGAAACTTTCACATTATTAACACTACATCCTGTTTATTTTGATGTCATCTAGTAACAATTTAGTTGTAAGGATCAATAAAATGATCCTATGTAACATATATAATGTTGTAGTGGCCCTATCCTAACTTCTGAAGAGAATAATTGTTTCGATTTTCGCAGCAATTTTACACGCCTATCCTTTTGATCAGTGTTAGGAAGATATAGGACAAATAGTTGATGGTCGAATGTAAAATCATCATAAGACTGGTTACGTATCACTTGCTCCTGTGAGTAATCATGAGCTTTTACTTGCGCACATATATACGTATCAGTCAGTCAGTCAGCAACAACCTAGAACTTCGTACGTACGTACATCAGTTCAAGTTGCCATACCACATTAGCACACAGATACATTTGTCGGTTCAAATCCCTTAGTAGCAGAGGTAGTAAATATATAATCAGTAATTGGAAATATTATAGTTTGAAGATGTTATTCAAGGAGTATAATCCAGTGAAATAAATTTGGAAAGAGAAAAAACAAACGAACATGAAGAATTCAGAAGATTAGAACTTGGGAGAACACAAAGAGTGGATGCACCTGCGTCATTGCTAAAGATTTTGAGTCATGCGTCATTCAAGGTCTCTAACTATCGAGTCCTAACGTTTTGCGAATCCCAAGCAGTTATTCTACGCCTACCAACATGGCTCAGTCCACTTGTCACTGACTTCATGGATTTGTACCATGTTCTGGTCTGGTCGCCCCTAGCTTTCTTCCAACCTACTCTCACACCATAAAACATTGCACATCGAGGCAGTCGGTGGTCGGGCATACGTAACACGTGTCCCAGTCATCTCAACTGATGAAGTTTCATCACTTTATTAATTGGTTTGCCATCCTTACCTGGTGCCCCTCTCCTAACAACTGCATTACTTACTCGATGGTCCCAGAATATACGAGCGATGCTTCGAAGACACCTATGATCGAATACTAGTAACCTACAAATATCCTCTACTCTTACCGGCCATGTTTCACAACCATTAAAGTAGGACGGAACGAACTGCTGTACAGAAAACTCGTCCTTTAGTTGACTTATATACGTATATGAATGCTTGAACATAGATAAGTCTGCTAATTGAATATAAGATCCAATTTTCTAGTCACTTCTAATAGCTTCTGACTATATCTACACAGTAACGTGATTACAAGAGAAAAGGAGCGAAGTGCAAGAATCAAAGACTGATGATAAGGATTTATTTGACTGCTGATACAAATCAAAATCATTTAGGAATGCACATCATCTGATATTATTTAGTTCCACTTAGATTAACAGTCAGAATACTTCTTAAGATGTTAATCCATGTCACAGATGATTGAAAACAAAATCAATTATGTATGTCATTCGCACTCCAAATGATTCAGTTGTTACTGGTCATGTAATAAATGTTTATGTAATGGTCTTGTACTAAATCTAAATACTAGTGTTGTAACGTGTGTGGACTGCAGGTTATGCTAGACAGCGTTTATATCGATCGATTACAATAGACACGGAAACACGTATGGACGACCTAGTGCCCTGATTGGTCCCGCTTCTCAGTCTGTCCTAGCCAGTTGAGTCAAGAACGCAAGTCACAGCCTCTGAGTTATGAATCATTATATTTCAAACATACTTTGTTTATATACCAATCAAGCATACCACATCGTACCATAAAATAGGAAACAACATTTACAAAATATTTAACAAGTGAAATAAACATCGACCAATAAGAAATGTACATTTAAGGTTCAAGGACACCATAGACTTAACACGATAATTATTGGTATATTTTTCCGACTATCCTAGACTATGGTTAAAGACAGTTTTTATAGTTATACACAATAACCTACATATACTTGACATTTATGCATTCATACCAGTCACTTGTGCTTGAGGACAAGCTTGTTTGAAATATACCCCTATCTAATAATTGTTTATTATTACACAGGAGATAAGCCCAACAGTCAAAGTGTTGAAGTCGATTCATCGTTAAAAAAAGAATTTAGATAAGTATTCGTAATAAGGATAGAGAGAAACCGATAACAAGCAAGCTACCAACACCTGTAATCTGCATACAATAAATGATAATTTAACAGTAATTTAATAACAGAATTTCAAACTACTTGTGCATTATTCAGTAGCATGAAAATATGTTCATAAAGTAGCGCGTGAAAAACAGTACAATGAGACAAGTGGGCGTAAATTTTCCACGCAAATAGTAACCATGACAGTGCAGAAAAATAATGATCGCCAGGATATACACAAATGAATAGTTATATAAAACTGGTTTCCGTTTGATTGATTGAAACAGTAAAAAGTCTATTACAAAAGTTCACTTTATCGATGAAGTCATACAAATCATATTGAAAGGGAAAGGTTGAAATTTGATCTAGAAAGTCTTATTCAGTATCAGATTTGAACTATAACACTTACAGAGTATCTGGTATATAATGATGGACTGGAAACTAGATTTTTCGTGTAACTTATTCATTATCGTGCTAATAATAGAATCTGTTAATCATAAGAGAATTGCTTAAAGAACTTGATGTGGCATGGTCGCCGGTGACAACCGGTATTCCCAGCCTGTCACCCATGCAAGTACTGATCGGGCCCAACGTTGCTTAACTGCGGTGGTCGGAGGAGAACCGGTGCGCCATTACAATGGCATCGATGTATACACTCTTTATCTTCCTTTAAAGCGTGAGATTAAAATTACTTGATACGTTTACTTCTAATTCTTTCTTCCTGTATTATATTCTTATGCACAATCTTTCTTTTATATATTACTACCATTGAAGTAACTACTTCTATGAATTTGGTGTTCATCTTGTTGTACTAATGAGGTATGGCAACTCGGACCGATGCATATATGTGCCTGGTCCTACGTTGTAACTAACTGACTAAAGAACTTAACATCCAGTTGTCGGACGGTAGGTTCAAACCTTCCTCCAATTATTTAAACTGACAAATAATGAAGTTATCAATAATATAGATTTTTAACTTAAACCATTAATTGCGTTTTGAGAAAGCGTAATTGGATGTAAGGTTTTACTCTTTAAACTTATCAAATCAGTTTTGATTTACACCAATCATTAATACAAGAATACTGAACTAGTGTTGGTTGTGAGACAAGTAAATGAGAATACCAGTCAAATTTTACGTACAAAGATGATAACATTCTGTCATTTCACCGCCAGATATAATTAACATGCAACAACTGAAAAAATAACTGTATAGCTTTTTTAAGATGACAATCCAAAATGTAAAGTCATATTTATCGTTCTATATGCTTCATTATCATTCCTACTTAGTACATCACTTTTTATGTAATAAGCCTTACTAATATGGGTTAAATATCGATTACGATAGCAATTCATGCTACTTCGAATCTCCATGGTAGAAATATTCGCATTATACCTTATTTTGTTCATTTTTTCAGTGTCAAATATACCACTAATCAATTGAAGTTGATAGTGTCAACCAATAGGTTCTAACTTAGCAGTTTAACGTTATTAATAATCGCTACGTGCCAAAAATTTCCTGCGGCAAATTACTTGTCGAATACAGAGTGATATACCCTATTTTGAACCACTATACCTTTAAGGCTTAATAATAATAATAATAATAATAATAATAATAATAATAATAATAATAATAATAATAATAAACTTACTTGAACAGCTGGATCAAGTGATCGAAATATATCTTGAATTTGATCTTTAAACCCTAAACTAAGCATTTCATCCGCTTCATCCAATACAAAACATTTAATTGTCTTTGTACGTAAATAACCACGACTAATCATGTCGAAAACACGTCCAGGTGTACCAACTACAATTTGTTGACCTAACTTTAACTGTTCGATATCAGTTGATACTTGTGTACCACCGATGCAAACATGACAACTAATATTCATATAATCACCAAGTGCTAGAACAACCTATTTACAATAAGGAAAAACAAAGTAATAACTTTCAGTTATGGGGAGTTTTGGGGGGATTGTTGAATACTATCGAGATCATCAATTAACCTCAGTTAAACAAACCACCGAAAACAAGAGAGCAGTGCATAGCTTTTCTTCCTAATGTGGAATACCCCTAGCACTGGTTGCCTAACTCTATAAGACTGATTCATCATCTCAACGACAATAATTTGCCAAGGGGGAAAATAAGGAAGAATTAGAAAATCTATTAATATCTGGGTTGAATAATATTGAGATCGATTACGTTGTCACTATAAGTAGATGTCAGTTGAATGAATGATAAAACTCATGGTTTATTTCATTAACTGGTTTGTAGAAACAATGTAAATACAGTTGCTTTTAACGTAAAATACAGATTGAACATCAAATACATATGAGTTACAGTTTGATATTGAATTTGTATGAGGGTTGGGATATTGCCCTAGGTGCCAAAAATGAAGTAGGTGGTTTTCTTATGAGGGGAACACTTCAGAGCCTTTGAATCAGTGGACACGGAGAGTGCACCCAGGAAAGATGGGAAACCCTGGTTCCAAACTAATGGTGCACATGGGCTCCAGGATCATAAGGGAACAAATGGCGTATGAACCAATCGTTGGTCGTCGGCTAGCATCAAACTACATCTCCTGACGTTGCTCCACTGCCTCGTGGGTTAGACCTTAAGGTCAAAGGTTCTGGGTGTGGCCCCCTAAGAAAACCACCTGCTTCACTCTGGGCACTCTGGCATTATCACAGCCCACACACAAATCAGGGGACTTGTGAGGCGCATATGTATTCGGTGCCACGTTGAATCAATGTTTATGTATTCAAATAAATAAATCGCTATGAGGTATGTATCACACTTTCCAAGTCATTATCTAACTCAACATCTCAATGGTAGTTAGCATAAAAATATGTGTTAGAGAAATGCCAGTAGTAGCAAAACGAAAGCATAACATCAGTTTATAAACTCATTGACTGGTGAACTGTAATATGTTAGATGTAAACCACCTTGTTAAGGACTCTGATGATTGTGATGAATGGATGGAAATTTTAGGTGCCATGGATCATAATCAGTTACAAAGGTGGTGTATTCACATTATAGCTTTAGAATTTTCGAATCCAGGTTGCTGCACTACATTATTACAGAGAGACGAAATTGTTAAGAAAAATGTCGGAGTAGTTGTAAAGATATGATTTGAGGGGAAATAATTAGGTTGTTGCAAAAAGAGGATAATTTAAAAACTCAAGATATAAGGTTAAGTAAAGAGTGAATGCATTTACTCTATTGCGACCGATTTTAAACGAGGTCACGAAGGATTAACAGCTATCGGTTACGAAGATCAACTGGGACCTCAAGCAGGTAGCATGCACTCCATTTACACGGCTCAGTCCAACAATCAATAACTTAGTAAACTAACGTCAATTTTTTATTAGCCCGCTCCTAACTTTCTTTCAGCTTATTACTACCTTAGCCAGCATCGCGAACAGAGATAAGCGGTCGTTTGTGATACTTAATATTTTATCTCATCTACATTAGCCAACGAAGATCTGCAACTTTTAAATTGAATTTCTAACCTTACTTAACACCTTGCGTCTAACCACAGCATTTATTACCCTATTTATTTATTTATTTAAACACATAGATATTGGTACAAGGAGGCACCAAATATATATGCGCCACACAAGTCTCATTCGATATGTGTGAGGGCTGTGATACTGCCCGGGTGCCCAAACCAAAGCAGATGATTTTCTTAGGGAGCCACTCCCCGAGCCTTCGACCTGAAGGTCTGATCCACAAGGCAGTGGAGCATCGTAAGGAGATGCAGTCCCATGGAAGCCGGTGACCAACAATTGGTTCGTATACCATTTGTTCCTTCAGGATACTGGAGCCCATGTGTATCATTGGTTTGGAATCAGGATTTCCCAACTCCCCTAGGTTGATGCTCCATGTCCACCAACCCGGTTAAAGCGCCGGAAATTCACGTTTCGTCCTCTCAATTTCGTAAACAAAACCCCCGCCACGAGAAGGCAGTGAGTAGGACTTCCCTGTCAGAGGCTATATACGCGTGGCCATATGAGAGCATTTCGAGACGGAGAGCGGACTCTCCCCACTCTCGGCCGTACCAGGGCATTTGGGGTTTTTTTTAATGGATGACGGCTAGCCGTGGAGTCCAGGACCCATATTTTGTCCTATTTGGGACTTGCCAGTTGGATGTACCTGCATTCTAGAGTTGATGTTCACTCCAGGACACGAACCCAGTACCGTTCACTTCAAAAGCCATCGCGTTATCTATTAACCTATGGTTCCATTATATGTGAATAATGCTTCGAAAGCATCTATGATCAAATACTAGTAGTGCCACGTTGTACAACAGTAAGACAGAACAGTGTACTGGTGAGTAGTAAACTCATCGTTTAGTTGGAAGACGAAGATAACAGTAATAATAATGAATAATTCGCAAATTACCATTTGAATTTGTTTCGCTAATTCCCTAGTTGGAACCAGTACTAAAGCTTGACAACGTGGATCATTCGTGCAGATTTGTTGTAAAATGGCAATACTAAATGTGGCCGTTTTCCCGGTACCCGACTGAGCTTGAGCTATAACATTGCGTCCTTCAATTGACGGAATTATGGCTCTTTGTTGTATTGCAGAAGGTTTTTCAAAACCATATGCAAAAATTCCACGTAAAAGATTTTCTTTTAAATTCATACTATCAAATGAATCACATACATTGTTATAGTGGCTGTTTATATCGTTGTCCGACTCCATCTACATATGAACAGTAAAGAATAGGAATACAAACAAATAACATTTTATAACATGACGAAAATAGTATATAAACTAAAAGAATTATATAAAAATGATCACAATATTGATTTAAAAAGGCGTGGGATAAAAAATACACCAAGAAATGTTCCATAATAAATGAAAGGTTATTATTATTAAAGATGGTACAAAACAGAAAATGATAGTGTGAATTTTTATTGACCGACGTGATTTGGACATGCATCACCTATCCCTACCACCTCTTATCGTCACGCACGATAATGGCTGATGTAGGAGTAATTTGGAAGTTAGAGATAGCCAAACCAAAACGTGGTATCAGTCCGTGAAGTCATCGACTAATAGGTTGAGCTGTGCAGACTACCCGGTTGTAGTACTCGTAATTTTCGTAACCTATAGTTAGACTTTGGACTAAAATCATTTGCAATGGGGTAGATGTATGCGCTCTGTCTTCTCAGAGATCTTAAGCAACCTAATAACCTTATATATTTATTATTCCACGAATGCATATTTTCTTTCTCGAATTATATCTTCTACACATAATATTTTCTAGTATCATTAATACTGGTACTGTTTGCACTACTCCAGGATCACACTGTTTTAACATGATCAAAACTTGAAACGATCAGTATGGGTCAGATTCTACATTGTACATGAGTGGTTGAATGTAAGTCATATCCTAAGTACACTGGGACTGGTTGGAAGAAGCGGAGAGGTGGTCAGTGTATGACATGGTGTCGTGGTACGAAAGAAAGCTGCAAAGGACTGGCTTGTGTCGGTCCTTCACGACTCCCTGGTTGGGGTCCGAGAGATGGTGCAACGCAGTAGCTAGAGACGTTATCAGATATGGCTCAGAATAGAAGCCAGCGGCGATCCTGCTGTAACCTTCTTTTACTTTCTTCATAAAAGTGGTCGTATCTTCCTTAACTGAAAGGATTCTTTCTTGTTGTACCTTTCTGTTTCCCTCATTACTATTATTATTACACTACCATACACTAATCTGTGGCCGTTATTGTTCCCTTTTTTTTGCTTTCTTCTCTCTCATACGCACCTTACATTCTTTTTCTCTTCCCATTCTCATTGTTATTGTGTGGCGCATATATATCTGGTGCCCCTTTGTACCAATATTTGTGTTCAAATAATAATGATAATAATAATAACAGATTCATGAGGTAGGTACTCATGGAATGGATAATTGACAATGTGATAAGGTTTTGAAGACAGTTGGTTAAACGAAAAACTAGTGGTTTACTTAACTGGCTAGTCGGTAATCTAGAACCAGGAAGAATTTATTAAAATTTCTACTGTTACACAAACTATCGACTTTATGTTTAGAGAATATATAAATCATACTCTTTTATGTATAGCAACTTTTACAACCAAACAATATAATATTAATGTAACTCAACAACAACGTATATGTTTGTGAACTACGCCACCACCAACACTTACACGACTACCTTCCCGGCTACTTCCAACTGTTAAATACAAAGAGTGAGTGCCACACAGACCTCACTTGATATTTGTGAGGGCTGTGATACTGCCCGGGTGCCCGAATCTGGCCACAGCCTAGTGCGGTCTAGATGACTTGATTAAGATGCTGCAGTGGGTTGTGCTCGAGTTGTGGCCTAATGACATAATCTTAATTAGTGGCAGAACTAATATTTAATTGTACTCCAACTGTAATATGTCGGGGCGTAGACTGAGATTACGAGATGTTGTTTTCTATGCCAGTATCACCTTGGTGGAGCTTTCTAACGTAGCAACACATGAACAACTACCGATGAGAATCTAATTGATTCGTGCTGCCTCTGTTCTTGTGCTTTGTTCGACACCAATACCAACCAAACAGTCAGTCGGTCAGCTACAACGTAGGACCAGACACATATATGCATCGGTCCAAGTCACCACAACTCATTAACACAACAAGATGGACACCGAATTCATATAAGTAGTTAATTCAGAGGTGGTAATATATAAAAGAAAGATTGCAATAAGGATATTGTACAGGAAGAAAGAATTAGTTCATAGAAAGAAAGATATGAAGCGATTTTAATCTCTTAGTTTAAGGGAAGACAGAGAGTGTATACACCTACGCCATTGTGATCGATTTTGAGCCATGTCACCCAGAGTCTCCAACTATTGGTTACGAATCACGCGGACCCCAACCAAGTAGTCTGCATCTACCAACATGGCTCAGACCGGAAGTTAGTGACTTCAAGCACTGATGCCACGTTTTGGTTTGGCCGCCCCTAACTTTCTTCCAACCATCCCAACCAAACAGGACAAAGGTAAAACAAGGTCCCCAAATAAGAGCACATGAAACAAGTTTTTGGGAATCGAAAGATGAAGAGAGAGTTTTATGAAAGTCTTGAATGGTGATCTCAGAGATACGGCAGACAACGATACCAAGACTTTCTAGGCCGGTCATTCATTCAGACGCAACGTAGGACCTGGGACATATGGACATAGATTCAAGTTGCCAACCCATTTGCACAGCGATATATATATACTATATATATATATATATATATATATATATATATATATATATATATATATATATATATATATATATATATATATAATATAGTAGAGGTAGTAACAGTACTGATAGTAGCAGAAAAAACTAGGCATAGAGGATACGGTACCGGAAGAAAATATGGATCGGTGGAATAAAAATAAGTTAATTTAGGAATTCCTAATACAGAATAGATGCATCTGCGACACTGTGGACCATTCTGAGTTCGGTCACCTCAAGTCTCTAACTATTGGTTATGATAACCACGAGGATCGCAACCGGGTAGATTGTACCTACTCAAATGGCTCAGTCTAAAGACATAAAAACCTATCTGTTATGCGATTTGGACCAGTGTGCAAACGTTTAATGAGACCAGCTTCAGTGGCAAAGGTGGCTTCAGAAAGTCTGACTCGGATTCTGTATTTCATGGCACCATTAGGAATTTCGGCCGGTCACGGACTTGAGACAGCACAGAACATTCACCACGAATGACCTGCTGGGTGACTTGGAAAACAGAATTAAAAGAATGTAAACAAAAACCGATCAGGAAGGTGATCTAATGTAAGATAACTTTAAGCGCCGGACAGGTTAGTGGTTAAATCACTGAAACTTCAACCATTTGGTGTTCCAGAACCCTGTCAATCTTCTTGATTTCAGCAACCGTATGTGAAAATGCGCTTGATTCTTGACTTGTGCTAACCATAGATAAAATGAGGGGGAGCTCTGGCGACGTGTCTGCACTAGGTTTATTGAAGATAGGGTGAGACAATAGTTTATGGACGACCTTTGAGCGACGCCAGACTGACCTTGAGTGTCCACCTAAAAACCAAGACCAAATGAGGATTACAAACCTGTGTGAAGGATCGAAATTATCATTTACAGCTGATGATTAATGTTAGAAATTATATTTAGGGTTTTCATCACGAACTGACATCAGCTATTTATCCGAATGAATGAATTTCGAGTCAAGATCCGAGACCTATTATCTTATACGTGATTGGTTTACCCATAAATTATAGTCACGTCAGAGGTAGAGTGCTTTACTATAAACAGATCTCCGAGAAAAGCTTCCTGACACTTGGAATAACCTTTAATTATTCTAGAATCAGCATCATTGCTCAAAATGAGCATGTTTTTTGCACACGCCTTTGTTTTTAGTGTTAACGACAGAATCAACAGTGCGATTTACCGCTTGTCAAACGACGTGGATTTTTATGAAATCTAAAACAACATTCTGTTGTTGAAGTTGCTATGAGAAATATTTTAAATGTACTGAATTATAGCTTAAACCTTTAGGAAAGCAACCTTACAGCACTAACATTGTCATAATGTTCTGACTCAATGAATGTAAAATAAATCGATTAAAACTGGGAGATTGAAACCTTCATCATGTTCCTCAAAAAACCAACACAAGTTAGTGACTACTAAACCAATCACGGGTCAAACGAACTAACATGAGCACGGAAAACTGAATAAATAGAAGATCATAGTTGTATTTTGTCGTTTCTTTAGTTAATAAGCGAGTATTCGTAGGATTTCTCTGAAGTATATGCAACACAGAGCATCTCCCTGAGTACATGCTGGTATTGTAAATAAAGAAGCACGTCAACTACTTTTTGTAACATGACCAACACATATGACGTCGACTATGAGTTAAATGACATATACCAAATATGCTCGAGCTTTCAGCTAACCTTTTATCGAAGCTAAAAGTCAAGTATGTGCAAAACAGTGGGCAAAACAAGCCAAAATCACACGGACGGATGTTGCTTATTGAACGGACATATTATTAAGCTCAAACGAAACCAAATGACTTAGAAAGTGTACAATGATATAAAGTTCACAAGTACGGCCCACGTTAACCGTTTGCAAGTATCACTTCATAAAAGTGCAAATGTAAAATTCTTGACATGAAATTATAACAGAATCAAGTAGTGCTAGAACCAAAGGTGTTAGATGATAAGTTTACCCAAACTCCCTATTTTTGGGAAACCTCTGTGGAAAACTTTGAGGAAATTTGGATAGATGGCGTAAAAACAAGAAAACCCGAACTCCCAATTTTAGGGAAAATTTGGCACATTTTGGGGAAGCCGCTAAAGTAAATTTTGGGGAAATGGCACAAAAACCCCGAAATTTCCCCAAAATTCCCCTTTAACCTTGGTCAAGGTCATTTGACTTTGGGGATTTCCTCGAAACCTCCTTAAAGTTCCCCGGACATTAGTGAAAGTCATTTGACTTCGAGAGATTCCCCAAAATTGGAAGCTCGGGGGTTTTCCCAAGGCTTTGGGGAAACTGCGTTTTCCCCCAATGTTTCAGCAGAACCATCTAACACTGAAGTTTTTCCCAATAATTTCCACAAAGTTTGAGGAGAACTACCTTGTTTCTTATGACTGAGGAAAACCCAAAAATTTACCCATGATAGTGGAATTGGGTAGTGTATCATCCATCTACTCAGCATTGATAGCATTAACACCGACTTGGCACAAATAGCGCCAAATTGGCAGCAGTAGGTGAAAGCAAAGCTAAGATTACAAACTGCATCAGATACTGACTATGATGGGTGAAAATGAGAACATCAAACTAACCAGAAAATAACATGTAGCAAAAAACTTTGAAATAAGTGCCAAGCCGAGAAACGTCCAATGCACAGTTTCATTATTTATCTTCAGATAATACCTGTTGTGTATCCTAGTGGAACATCTTATTCAATATATAACTATACGCACAGTCATCAATGGCACATCAGAAAGAAGTAACACTACAATCTGAAATGTCTGTTTTTGAATAAAGTAAAACGGTGACAAATACCACTCACTACAAAATGATATATAAAATGACAAATTATAACAATTGTTATGAAATGTCACTTGTTACCTCCTTCCGAGATAAAATTTACAAATGAGTTCACATGATCGGCGAAGGTTCTCTGAACGTGATGTGACCAACAACGTGGTAAGAAAGGTTATATCCCATAGTATTATTCAGTAACAATCAGGTCCGAAACTCCAACATAGTGTATAACGTCCGGAACAGATGTTATAACATCATTATGATCTGCACTCACAGACCGAGACCAATAAAGTAGAAGAACAAACGACAGAGATAGCGCTTATTTCATTTAACAGCTGTAGCACGTGTGTGTTAGTACGGCGGAAAAATTATATTCGTTTTTTCCAGGTGATGTAGAGTAAAAACGGATATAGAATATAAATTTTCTTACGTGTAAGGTGTCAAAAATGAGGAAAACTGTTATCTTTATCTTGTCATTACAAAAACCATTGGTTTTACACGTCACTGTAGACCAGTTAACACCAAAATCATCTGTCAACCATTACTAGATATCCTCCTAAGCTACTGCAAGACAACCGAGATAAACTTACGAGTCATAACTTCTGTTTATGAAATAGATCAGAGACGTCCTTTGCCATTTTATATTCACGCAGTTAAACCCTTTAAAATATATACTTTCCATAGCCGAAACAATAATAGGCTGCTATTAAACGCAACTCTATTTCGTAAATGTGGCTTTCAGCTTAGCAGCCAACCAGAATGAGGCGGGATTTATTATATGCGCCATCTTGCAAGCAATGGCGGCCGGCTTTCTTCGTTCTGTGCTTTTTTCAGCTATTTCTTTTGTGTAGCTATGTCATTTAATGTTTCAGTGGGCTAAAATGCCGCAGTTAGTGTAATGTTCTATATGTTGGTGTGAAATTTATCTCGAATCAGCATTGTTTTTCGGGTTTTCGCTGATTCTGGTCAAGTCAATGTATTTCTTCAGCCAAGCTGGCTAGTCTTATGTTTTAAAATGGTAATCGGTTTTGTTTTGACTTGTTTTCTAGATATCCAAAGCCGAAGTTCGTTTTTTTTAGCTAAAATAATTGTTGCTGCCGCCTGTGACTAACTGTCCGCATGTTCGTTCCTAACTGTCGTTTATGATGTTATTAAAGGAAACAATCTCCGTTTTTTTAATTTCTTCAATATTATGGACAACACTAACCCACCAACGAGTCAAACTAATACTGAGTGCCCAGCAGTAGGGGATATCAGTATTCTTTTCGAAAGGACCCGGACTTCCGACAGCCATAGACGAAGTCACAGAAACTACCAATCTATTGCAGAGGGTTTGTTATATGAACAGGTGCTGCGAGGCTCGTGTATCGCAAGTTTCTTGCAACGATTAAGCAGATAAAACAAAGTAGCATTAGATTTAAAAATTTATTCAGGAACTTTCATTAAAAGTCGAATATCAAACGAAATTCCTGTCTAAAAGTTGCATTGGTAATGTTAAGCTTCATTCTTTGTTGTTTTTTACAAACGAAAGTGTAAAAGAAGTGACTCAAAAAGTACTGGAAGTGGTTGTGAGACTAAAATGGATGTCCAGCATCCTTTTTATAATCTGATGTTAGTTGGGTCTCCCGTAAAGTTTCGTATGGCCATAGTTCTAGGGGCGAAACAGTTCTTAGGATCTGTAAAGGCTCACTCCTGTTGCATTCTAAATGATAAAATAGTAATGAATTTAGTCGGGAATGTGGAATAGATAAATAACCAAATTACATGTTTTTCAGCAAAGAATTTATGCAGTTGTGATTTACCTTGGGTTCATGAATATTAGATCAGGCCAGCCACTACTACTTGTGCAAAACATAACATGGGCTTAGTACCGTATCCCAATGGTTTTATTATTTTGCTCCCATTTAGGTATTCCCATGCACTTACGTCTAGTTTAACAGGAAGACATACAAGCGGAGTTAGTGTCTGATAAACTAAAAGTCCCAGTTGTCATAAAAAATTTAAACATTTGTCCGCTGCCAGCTGCATTTAATTGAGACACAGAACACTCATCTTCTAAGACTGTATACTGCTGTTTTGCGGGCAACTAAAAGCTCAGACGCTTATCTGTCATGCTACCGATGTTATTGCTGCGGAAATTGTTTAATGACAGTGATCTTGAAATATGGTCAGTGGTAGATGTGTAGTGGGATTGGACAATAGCCACACAGTCTACAAAGCTGTGAACACGAGACCACTCAGAAAATAGGTATTCAATATTTAACGCGGAGAAATACCTAACAATAAAGAAGGCGCGAACAATGAATTGAATGAATTATAGTTGATCGAACGGCATGGCTCGGCCATGCAGGCGTGATCCCTGCTGAATGTTATCTTATGTCTTCTATTCATATTAAATATATTGTTCTGTCTGTAGCCTGACCTTGTTCTACACCATGTATTGGTAATTGATACGATACAGTGAGCTGGCGTAGTCGATGGTGTGACTTCCACGTAAGATCTTATAGATTAGGCAGTTATATCATGACAAATCTACAAATTTAGGATTAGGTCTATTATTAGAGCAGCCATTATATCATAGTAGACCTGTGGTGTTTGAATGAACTAATGATACCTTTGTACTTGTTGAGTGCTTGATTTCGAATTCTAAATACAATACATTCGTTCGTGCCTGTGTCTTCTTAATTCAATTGCGTTAATCCTGGAATTCCTAAGTCATACGACAATTAGAATATTATATTGGCGTCGCGATAGAGCCTGCAATGGAAAAGTTAGATATTCATTCAACTCCTGAAGCTTTTGAGGATTACTTAGAAAGGTTCGAAATCTGGAGCATGACCAAGGAAGATGATGAGGATGTTAATATTGTGGCACACTTCCTCACATTTATTGGGAGAGAAGCGTACAGCTTATTAAAAACTTTGGCAAATCCAGAAAAAACTATCTCACTCCCTTATGCAACTCTTAAAGAGCTATTATTAAGTCATGTAAAATGCACCAGTTTTGAATGCCATGAAAGGGCGAAGTTTCATAAGATGGTTCGTCGAAATGACCAAAAGGCTCGGGGATTCATCCTTGAATTACAGAAACAAGCTGCCAAGTGTAATTTCGGTGATCAACTTCATGTGCAGCTGAGAGATCGATTAATTGCAGGAATTAACATACCGAGTTTGGAAAGAGAGTTGTTAAAAATGCCAAACTGTTCCTTTCAAGATGCTAGAACTGCATGTATTAACTACGAAGCAGTCAATGAACTTGATATCCAGCCGATGAAGATTTCTTATACTTTGCTTAGTCGTCGTAATGAACTACAATTTCAGGGTCAATCAAACTTGCGTTCATTTAACAGTGATTCCTATTCTCGTGTAAATATGAAAGGTGAAAAAAAAAAAAATTACAAAGCAAATCACAAAGATGAGATGAAGTTTGGCAAATGTTTATCATGTGGAAAGTTTCATGCTCGCAATTCATGTGTATTTCGTAATCCTAAATGTTTTAAATGTGGTAAGGTAGGACACATTCAGTCAGTATGCAAAGCTACTGTCCATTTTGCTTCAAGCTGTACTAAGCCTTGTAATTTAAATTTCAATAATTCGGATGTTTTTAATGATCATTTATCTTTATCAACGATTTCAAAAGACAGTGCAGAGTCATATGGCAGTTCAGAGTTAGATGAAATCCAGAATTCTTGTGAGACAACAGTTCCTAATCAACCGATTTATCAGAATTCTCATGCTATTGTACTAGGTATGACTTTTCCTAATGATTCACATATTTCTAATGAAATTCCTTGCAATATTGAGGAAAGTGTGTTAAATGAACCTAATCATGATCGGAAACCTGATGTGGTCTGGATAGATGCTGATTTTTCTAACGATCCTACGCTCTGCAATGACAGTCCTAATGAATTTCATGAGAATATTTCAGAAGAATCAAATCCCGATGTCATATCATATATTAACTCTCCTCATAATGCATTTGATCCTTGTGAAAAACCTGCTCAATGCGAAGCACGAGTACTAAGTGACCTCGAGTTTGATTACATTTCGGATGATTTCATATCAACTGCTGTTTACCCTTATCACAAAAACAGTTTTAATGTTTACTCTAAACAATGTAAGAAATATGTTTTAAATGAAGCCACATTATTCATAACTTGGGGATATAAAGATCCAACATTATTTCGTGGGGGAGGATAATGTTGAAAAATCTATGGTTCGAATTCTAGATATTAATGATTTCATTACAAAACCGACATGCTGGTTGTATACAATTCCAGGTGAGTCTGTTCCGATTTCGTTTGTTAATTCCAATACTAATGAGCACTGTCTAGATACTACAAAGTTTTTATCTTATACATTGTCGGACAGCCTGAAGATGAACTGAACAAGCAGACGTACAACCGATTACAAACACTTATGCTTCTATTTAAGCTGTGGCGGATGTGGTGTTTGAATGAACTAAACAATCCAACATGAACTCAACATGGTAGATGACTGGTGCAAACGCTGGAGGTTAGAGCTCAACATAGAGAAATGCGGCTGGTTATGTATACGAGACACGTCTCTTAAAATGAAACTAACACTTAGCAATCACACACTGCCCAGACTGGCATCAGTAACTGACCTAGGGGTACATTACTCACACAGTCTTAATTTCTCTGAACACATCTCAGCCAAAGCATCCAAAATGCGGAAATTGCTTGGCTTCATTCTCCGTAATTTCTATCAAAATGAATCTAAAATCCTTCTTCATAAAGTTCGTGTAAGACCTGTCGTTGAATACTGCTCGTTCTTATTTTCCAACCTACTCCTATCTGATATACTAAAAGTGGGAGGAATACGACGAGACTTCACCCGCAAAGTACTTAAGACTGACTCGGTCATTGACTACAGTTCTCGATGCCAAATCTTAGGAATAGCACCCCTTTGGGTGAGAAGGCTTAGGTCTAATTTGATTCTCTACTTCAAACTACTCAAAAACCTTACTTACTCAACATGTCAGATAATTCTTGC